GCTGAGTCATCGGGTTATGGCCTTACCAAACCAGCCCGGCGGCCAGAATCTTAACGAAGGTAATGGACCCTCTTTCCACGTCATAGTTGCTGCCTTTGAATCTGTCCATAGGCAGGGCAATGTCTTTGGCGGAGAATTTGCGGAATAAAGTGACATGGGCTACTCGAACCTTGCGTTGTCTAGGCAAAATAGCTCGAGAGAGTGTACACCTTCAGATACAAACATTCCAACATTTTCAACAATGTACATATCCTTCAACAATACTATTCGAATGCGTACTGAATAACCACCTAAAAACGAAGATATACAATATTTACGACCGTAACTATAGAGTATATACTTTGTATTGTCTTGTCACAGACTAACCATTATGTGAATGCTACCTATACTACAGAAGGGGTAACGTATATCCTCGGCTTCTCGTAGTTCACGTTGCCCTTGGCCTCAGGCGCTGGCGGACCTTGCGGTTGTAAGAGTGGAGTAACAAGAGCCCCCATTTTTTTAAACGCCGTTAACCCCACCCAAAAAGATATGACTAGATACAATGATATAAAATAAGAAAATCCAATCCCCAACTCCCCTGGTTCCATGCAATGTTAGGGTTCGAGTGTATCTCGTTGTAGAATTCGTCAATCTTTTCGTCTCATCATAATCAGGGTCCATGATTGGGTGTCCCCTCAAAGACCGGGAAGTTGCTAGACATGTCAGCCCAGTCCCATTCGATCGTCATTGGCATCTGCCATAGGTCTTGTGGGACAAAGGGCTGTTGGAAAGATGTCATAGGGGTTCCAGTAGGAGTGCCGAATGGCTGTTGATCACCAAAGCCCACACCGTCCATGTTGTTGGGGCTAAGCATATCTGAGAACTCGTGTCCCATACCAGGCATGGTGTGCATACTTTCCTGCATAGATGTGGGAACACCATTAGTGCCTAAGACATTTTGACCTGGAGCGAAGGCCCTTGCAGCATTCGACATATCAGGCCCAGTGTTGCCCAGATTTATCGAATACGAAGATGATGGGAATGGGCCAGTTGTTGGTGGTGCGCCTGTTGGCCTTTTAGTAGAAGGGGAATAAGCCGAGCTCTCATCAGGTGTCTTTTGCTGCAAATCCTGTGGCTCATCGGGGGCCGCCTTGCGTTTCTTCTTCGAATGTGACTCCTTTTCTGCCTTGTCAAGAACTACTTGGGCTATCCTCTCAAACTCGCCACAGAGGCCAAGCATACGCTTAATGCTCCCATTGGATTCATCAGACACGAGCGTTGAGAGAAAATTGACAACCACAGTCATGAGTTTGACATCAGAACGTGCTCGAGCATCGTTGGGGTTTTGAAGAATATTAGCAAACAAAGTTACCAATGCTGAAACGGGATAATACAGAATCAACCTAGACCTTGTTAGCGGGCGACTGCGAACACTCAAATTATACACTCGACTCACCAGACACATGCGAAATCACCGTGCGGTATGTATTTGATTAGATTGATAGACGCTCTGGCGGCCGTGACGCAAAGAACGGCAGATAAAAAGACTCTAGGGTTTAACGGCCTGGCATTGAGGCCTTGGATTGCATAGTTGGATAGACGGCTTGTCCAATACCCGTGGTGTACAGACATTCGGTGGATCGTTGTCAAACAGTTATAGTAGGCAAAATGAAGGACGACAACGTGGAGAATAAGGGGTGTGTGGGAAGCTTTGATTTCATGCTCAGGTCGGAAATCAATAGGAATGCTGTCTTTCCATTCTTCGAGTTCTCTGTCCAAGTCTCCAATAGTATTAAGCAACTCGCCATCGGATTGCTTGGACGCTTTAGCAGAGTATAGCCGCTTATATACTTGGCTCTCAATGGTAGCGAATCGGCACAATGATCTGAATAAGTTGAACTTCCCCTTTCCGTCAGATATAGGTACATTGCCTATGTTATCTGGCGGATCTTCGCTGGGTAGCTCCACATTCATATCGTCGTCATCCTGCACCGGAGGGCGACCAGAACGAAGGCAGATACTATGAGCATATTAGTCATGTAAGAAATAGGGATCACAAATGGGTATGAAGATTCATCATCTCGACATACTCTTTATCAAGAAGATAAGCGATCCAAAACACCCTCTTTCGCTGCTCAACTTCAACTGGGTTTAGTCCGAATCCAGATCCCCGTTTATGGAGGCCGATGCTATGCGACAACCTGATAGCCGCCGCAACCAAGAAGAAGGAAGGCTGAGGATTTGGAGTTCCTTGTAGGAAGAGTGACTAGACAATTGTTAGGCCAAAGTTCCAGGCATTGATGAAGTTTGTGATACGTACCATGCCTAGCAATGCTTGGACACTCAAAAGATCTGTATTCCGCATGGTTAATTCGGTCAAGACCCCCATAGCATTTTTCAGATAGAGCCAAGCCTTCTTATCCTCTTCTTGGGGCACCAAATTACTCATGACTCGTAGCCTGTGGGCGATGGCCAGGACAACATTGATGCTAGCCCACCAGCCAGAGCCTTCGTATGGATCCCGAGAGTATTGGCGCTCCACCAAGTGCATGAATGTCGGTTCGTGAAACAACGGGAACATGCAGTTGAAATTCTCGAAGAAATCTTTGAACAGTGACATCGCCTCCTCCTTCGGGGGTAAGGGTTTAAAGACACGACGAGCAAATATGTCGCTAAAAATCTCTGGTTTCCAGTACATCCACTTGTTGTCATCTACGTATGCTGACGAGATCATGTCCTGAAAAGAGGTATCGCCTGTTTTTTCATTGACCCATTGAATTCCCTTCGGAGAGAATATGGAAAATCCCGAAGATGATCCTGTGATACAATGTTAGCTTGCTTGCGTTTTAAGTTTGCCGAACTGAACATGCGCATACCGATGTACCGCGTTTCTCCACAATTATTTGTCACAAGTGAGCACATCATGTCTGATAATCCCTCGACTTCTGGCTCGGATTCTTTCGGTGAATCGGGAGAGGTGGCAGCTGTGTGCGGACTGGAGTGAGAATCCATCCGTGGCGTCGAATGGCGAGACACAGTAGTGTGCTGGGATTGCGACGCCGCGCTGGAGCCATTGAATTTATTTGTTGGACTTTTCAAGGCGTTCAGCCCCGTGTTGCCTAGAGATCGGTCGGCGAGGCGCTTCTCCAGAGTCCCAAGGTCGGTTTTCCCATCATCCTCCGACAAGAGACCAGACAGACGTAAAAGCGATTCCATTCTCCCTAACCGATTCTCTAGACCCTCGATATATTTGGCACTAGAAGCGTAAACGGTCAGCGCCCACAACGAAGGAGTAATACGGTAGATGCGCAAGCATACCCTTTGGGAGGATTTCGCTTCTTCTCCACCTGAGTGAAAACACAATCCGTCTTATAGTTAATACAGTGGGAGCATTTGGGCATCTTGCCGTCGCATTTGATCTTCTTCTTCCGGCACATGTCACAGGCCTACACGGGGAAGATCAGCTTTGCTGACATTCAACCGACAAGGTCATAGTCAACCACTACTCACCCTCGCAATCCTTCTCCTCTTGGCGTCATTGTTGTCCTCACCTGCCATTCCAGGTTCCTCGTTATAGGTGGGATTCGAGAGAACATTATTCAGTGGTGAACCGCGCGAACTGTCGTGGTTATAGCCGCCGAAGAGATGGGGCTGTTGGTTCATCAGCATCGGCATATCGAAGCCCATGCCATCTGGACCTTCCCCCATGCCATCCATCGTGGCAGATCAAACGGAATGTGACGCTGCGACGTATTAAAAGCCTGAGAAGTATAGTGTGGAGTTCTAATGTTGGCGGGTATCGTTTCAGGCGTGATAATGATAGGAAAGATGCGGGGTCTTTCCGCGAAAACGTCAATGGCGTAAAAGAGCTGTTATCTGTCTCGCCTTGCTCCCCTTGTTCAGTATGAAGCTTAGGTGATACACGACAGAAAGACTAGGGTCATCGGACGCTAGCCTTTCTCCGCTGGGGAAGACCTTCAAAAGGGCGAAAATAGCTTAAGGTACTTGGTGCGTTGCGCAAAGTTGAATGGAAAAGAGAATAGCTGACTCAACCTTCTCCAAAATCTGGCACGTGGCGAATCTTTTCAGTGGACGGAGAAAAAAAAAGTAAAAAAAGAAAGGAACGACGTCAACAATTCTATGTAGCAGAGTAACGTTTATGATCAGGCAATTCTTGGGTGTAGAAATTCAGAAGACCATTTGTCAACCCCCCTAAAGATTGATACCAAGGAAAGAGAGGCATCGCATTCGTACTCGTAACCTACGTTGTTGCCTTCAAACAGGGTGAACTAGTTAACCTTACTAATTCAATAGTAGGGCACCTAAACCTGACACTTCGCGACCATTTCCTTTCTTTCAGGTACTAAGATGGGCTTTGCTTCACGCCAAGTCCATCCTTAGTGCGTTGCTCTCCCGTGGCTCGAATACGGATTTGGTACGATGTCAAGACTTCGGGAGCTGTTAAGTCCGATCTCCGTTGGACTTGAAACTTCAGCCGATTTTCACGGCTGTCTTGTCTCCGGAAACGCCGACATCCGGACGGACTTGGCGTTTTCTTCCTTCTTCTCAAGGTGTCCAAACCCCAAAGTCACAAGACTTCCGACCTCCGGAACTCTTTTGCTTGTTTCGACTCTCGAGTCACAGAATGTCTTTGGCACCACGTGGAACGGCCCACGGAGGTTATTACAACTTCCAGTGACTATCTATGCATCTCATGCAAATCATTCTGTGAATAACCTGATGAAGAGGCCGGAGCACCGTCAGCTGTCTATATTCACCGGTAACCACAAGACTCATGCGAGTCCTAGTCAGGCCCGGACAGTATACGTCTTGTTCGACAGTCATGGTCATAGTGTACTATCCTAGCTGCAACACCACAATGCAAAATGAATAATTCTCAATGATAGGCTTCTTTAGTATTTATACAGTAGTACATGTAAAGTAATCAGGAGTGGTGATCTCGTCAGGATATATGCAAACACAAGTCTCCGAGGAGGAGCAGGAACAAATGTACCTCGTCCTCGAAAATTCCACCAACGCCATGCTATGCACCCAAAAAAAGACATTCTCTTTCCTTATACAATGAACGGAAGGTCCACTCTTCCGTTGTCAGAGGATCCGCCAATACCCCTAACGGTGACCAGGGGCCACGGCCCCTTCCGATCCCACCTTTAAGTATGCTTATCGAGGAATTCCTTGGCTTCGTTGATCTTGGTTGCCAGGTACGGGCTGCCGCCACGATCGGGGTGGTTAAGAAGCATGAGCTGACGGTGCTTCTTGCGGACCTTGTCCTTGTTCAAGGTACGTTCCCTATTCATTCTGTTAGACTCTGTCCGAAGTCGGTACGAGACAACGAGTTCGAAACATACGGGAGTTCCAAGATCAATGCGGCTTCGCGACGGTTCATCCGGGGTTCAAATCCTCTATATGCCAGTCAGCTATCCACTCTAAAGCTCCACTTATACAACCAAGTCACCTACCCCTTATAGAATGCCTTGCCCGCGGCGTTCACACCTCCCCTGGCGCGACGGAAAGCGACAAAACCCGCGCGACCCTATACACAGGTAAAATGCCGGTGTTAGTTTGCCACACTCTATAGCCAAAGAATCCGTGTTCACTGGCTTACCAAAAACGCCGCGGTCGCGACACCGAGTCCCATAGCAAGAGTTGAAGCCATCTTCGTTTATAGCTGGTCTTTGAAGACACCGAGTCCGGTCAAAGGATGGGCGATATCTGAGTCGAGGTTGAAGTAACACGGGAAAGAAGAGTTCGATGTGACGTTCGTTGCGAGAGGCGGAAGGCCGTCGAGATAAAAATTCGGAGCGCCGCCGCCGATGCCCGTTTAGGATTAGCGTCTTCTCCGCCACGGTTTTGGAGATCTGCGAAAAGTTTCTGGCGGTACCTGAGGTTGTTATCACCACTGATACCTTCAACCTCCTCCAGTCGTTTTTTTGTTTCAAGTTTGAAGGAAGTGGGCAGAGACATCATTCATCATGAGGTAAGTTTGCAGCTTCTACGGTTTTTTGCCGTTTCTCGCCAGTGCTACTTTGATAATACAAAAAAAAAAGTCACTAATCATCTGCGCAGAGTTGAAACCTGCCACTTCTGCAGTCGGTATGCTATAACCCCGCCATCAGCCCAGGTATAATTGTTTTTAACAGCAAAATAGCCCTGTATACCCTAGCAAGGGTATCAGTTTTGTGCGGCTCGATTCGAAAATGTTCCGGTTCTGCAGAAGGTGGGTGGTTTCTATGATCCATACGGTGGAAGAACGCTCTAACTCCTTCCAGCAAATGCCACAAGAACTTTAAGATGAAGCGCCAACCCCGGAAGTTGAAGTGGACCAAGACCAGCAGAGCTGCAAATGGAAAGGAAATGATTGTCGACTCGTCTCTCGTTCTGTCTCAGTTCGCCAAGAAGAGGAACGCCCCCGTCAAGTACGACCGCAACCTCGTGGCCGCTACCGTCAAGGCTATGGAGAGAGTGGAGGAGATCCGTCAACGCAGAGAGCGCGCTTTCACCAAGCGCAGATTGGCAGGCAAGATCGCTCGGGACCGCAAGCGCGAGGCAGACCGGAGAGTTGTGGCCGAGGGCGAGCACCTTATCCGCAAGGAACTGCGCGACAGAGAAGAAGGAATGCCTTTGGTGCAGGAGGGCAAGCAGAACAAGATCTTCAGCGAGGAGAGGCTCAGACAGAAGAAGAAGACCAGAGTTCTTGTGGATGGCACAACTCAGGAGGAAATGGACGTCGATTAAAGGTTATGCGCTTTCTTTGTTTCTTTCAGATACGATGCCCTGGGTTTTACAATGGAGTTAGGTTGTTGTGATATCTGATTTGTTTGCTACTAAAAAGAACTGATTCATGCCTAGCTAGTGAATATTTTTCTACATGGTTTACGGCTTATGCCGGTTTTCATACCTTGTACAAACTTTCTTGTTCCCGTCTATAGATCTTTGTCTAAAAGAAACCCACTGAGATGGTGGCATATTTACCCTTCACTGGAGAACAAGTCTTTATTCACTTTTGCTTGCTAGGCTCCTTGCTCATCTTTACATGTTCTTGTTCTTTGTTCCTGGCCCAATGCATGTTGCTCTGAATGCATGTTGCGTTTCTCTTTTGTGCTAAGAGCAAATAAAGGACCGCTTACCTGAAAGGAGTATATATTCTTCTATTTTGATCCTTATCTCCTAGCCTTTCTCCAATTACCACTAACATCTTACACTTGCCTACCATAAAGCTTTTGTATGCGTTAACCAGACCAGACTAATATCAACGGCTGAGAGACTAACATGACGTGAGATCCATCCAATCCGTACTCATTACCTATTACTCTCATACCGCAGACAATGTTCGTTCCCTTTATCGGTCTGTTTGTCACCTTGACGTTCCTCGGTGCTCGTTTCACAGTACCAGGAATGAAGGAGCTCACTGACCGCCGCGAGCCTCTCTTTATGCGCATATCGAGCGCCGTATGCATAGCATCAGAGGCAAATATAATCCTCGACATTGCGCAAGTCGCCACATGGGTATACAAGACAGCAACTCTCCCGAAAGACCTTCTGCCCTACAACTGGGACAATCTCTGGTGTCCCATCAGTCGAGCAGACTTGATCACCGAGAGGGGACTCCTAGTGATTAACAACACGGAGACATCGCTCATCGATCTTTACCCAATATGCTATGAGGAAGACAAACCCAGCTGGTGGAACGATGTCCACGTCGACCGGAATACTGACGACAATGCTTCAACGATATTGCCTTCTTTCAAAGAGTTCCTAGACATTGTCATCGCCATTTCCTGTATATCATTACACAGCTGGACTCGCATCACCTCGTGGGGACGCTCTGCAAAAGGTTCCCGGCCCGGAGCACCCTCCGACGTATCTGACGGCAGTGATGAGGGTACGCCGACCTCTATTCAGATCCATCCTAAAGTGGAGAAAGCGATCTCGCGCAATCAACGCAGCCGAACATTCCATGTACAACCCTCAGACTTCACTATCGCTGCCAAAGACCCAAAAGTCAGCCTTGTCAGCGCTGACAACAACTTCGCACAACCTACTCCCGAAGCCCGCTACATACTAGAGCGACAATGGGCTCTAGATCTGTACCGACCTCAAAACCGTGCTCCGGCTCTGATAATCCGTGCTTTGGTCGCCAGCCCAGCTGCACATACTACACAACCCGGACGCAGTAGGCAATCCCGACCTTACCAACTAGAACAAGACCAACTAGAAAAACCCAACAAGAAACGCAAGAAGAACCGCCCCAGTCAAGGAAAGAGAGAGCGCTGGTCGCAGAAACGTCAAAGGATGCGGGAACCAAGGGAAGGGGACGGTGGAGACCCAGAAGAGAGGAGACAAGAGATGGAAGAAGAGCATCCTGCATTGGCGGATACGGACGAACAGCCCGAAGCTTCGATCTCTGATTAACATGTACAGGTAGTTATATATACATCTTCCTATTCACCCTGTTCGTCCCGTGGGTAATTAACGGATATTTGTCTCGCTCAATCTGTGATCTGATCACCTCCAGATCTCTTGAGTCCTTAGCTCGTTTGTTGGCAAAAGTTGGTATGTGGGGATAGTTGGGGAGTGGCTTAGTTCTTGTTGGACACTCTTGGGATCTCTCATGGCGGTTTGTGCTCTGCTGAGGGTGGAATGTATGAATTCACAATGTATTTTGAGCATATATGTTGGCGTTTGGGTTATGCAAGAAAATATATAATGTTTAGTAGTCTTTCATATGAATATAAATGATTAGTGTAGACCATCCAAATGATTCTCGATCCGTCTACCAGAAATTATCTAATTCGTGAGCCAGCTTCCCTTCGCTGCTCAGGAGTGACAAGTATAACCCAGTATGATGTATTTAGTATATCCCAATGGGAGTTTGTGTACACAAATTAAAAGGAAACAGTCGACGGACTCATGTGAAGGACTCTGGTCCGGTATATGAGGGCGATGCAAATGCTGTGATACAAATAAAATGATACATGGGTGGTCAGAATGGAGTAATTGAGCGGCAATAGTGGGAATATGAAGGGAGAGAGAGAGAGAGAGGGAGAAACCAATGAAAAGAGAGAAGGCAAAGAATAAAAGTAATAAGACCGGGACGATCCATTCAAATCAATCATGCATACCAGGGCCCCAAGGTCACACGAAGTGCCGACGGGTGATACATTCCCTAGTAACCTGTCATACACGCAAAAAGGGGTTGTTCAAACAGGACAAGTAACCACAGAAAAAACCAACGTTCGCAAAATACGCGCGAGCTCGTACATGTCATGAAAAGGTACTGCCGCAGCGCAGCAGCCCAATCGGCTAGAATCCATGGCCGAAGAGAGGTTCGTGAGAATCACACAGAAAGATGATCCAACAGGGTATAAGATGAGGGGTTGTTTACTCCTCCATCCGACCAAAAACGCCATCGTCGTCCTCATCAGCCGCAGTGGACCGGTGCCCAAAATCAACGTCTGCATTGCGACTTTGCCGTGTGGTGCGATCCGCATCGCCCATCTTCACCTCTCGCTCGTCTGACACCTTGTACGACAGGGAAGGGTTATACGAGAGCGAGAGGAAAATGTTTGGAGTAGAGTTCGGAAAAAGGGCATCTGCCTCCTTGGTTGCCGACTGATCCAAGCTCTGACTCTCGTTACCACTCGCGCCGGCCTGGTCAAGGAAGCGACTTGGCAATTCAGGGACGGGGGGTACACTAGGGGACATTGGCACTGGCCTCGTGCGAGGGGTGTTGAAAGTGCAGAGACCGATGGCTGCAGCGAGATCAGCCTCGTCGTCTTCGTGTAATTTGGCTTCTGCGGTCGACGGTCGGGTATCGATACTTGAGTGGCGGTAGTGTGAGAACGCCGGCGAGTGCCATGGAGCACTACCGGTGAAGGAGCTCGAGGGCATGGACTGATACGAGTGGGAGAAGAGACCCGATGCAGTGCTGACACTGAACCGCTTCTCCATAGTTGGCTCGGGGGACATGTCTTCATCGTCCTCGTCATCCTCATCCATCGGGGGCGGAGTGGTCTCTGCAGAGCTGAGCCCATCTCGAAGTTCTGACGAGGCATCAGGGGACGCGGACGATGCTTCCGACTCGGCCTCCACGCCCTCTGGCGGATCGTCCTGGTTCATGTTTACCAACACGGAGGCTGCCTCGAGCAGCTGGACTTGCTGATGCTTAGAGATCAGGAGTTTCGAGGTAATAGCCCATGCAGGGTCATGTTCCCACCTAAGTACCATAAAACGTCAATCGAGTGTGGCCCAGGATGACAAGGGGGTGAAAAGGGATTGGAGAATAAGGGGAGCTGAATGACCACGAAGGCGACCTTGCACAGAGCCGACATGGCGCATTTACCCCGGATCGAGCCAGACGGTAGGATGGCATGTTAGGGGAGGATACACACATATGCTTAGACAAGCAACTGCCATGCTTATACCCTTTCCCGCAACGATCGCAGCGAAGTTCTGTCATGGGGCGCTTCCCTTCGCTTTTGATAAGGTGCGATCCCTCGCTGGCCCGACGGTTTCGGTTCTTATTATTGTTGGCGGACTTGCTGGCGGAATTGTTTCCATCTACGGTCGCGAGGGTTGTCGGGGATACGTCATTTGAGTTGGTTGGCGAGGCCTTGCGAGCGACCGGCGGCTCATGGCCGGGGCTATTCATGCTCCGTGAGAAATAAGAGCCGAAGCCGGAGGGGGCTCCGACCGAACTAGATTCCAAGCCTTTTCGGCTCCCTCGACGATGCGAAGGCACAGAAACTCCTACGGACTCCCCAGCTGAATCCTTCAAGGAGGCAGCGACGGCGGCGGCGGCAGCGTTGGCGACAGCAGCAGTGGTGACACTTTTACGACGAGTTACCCGATGATTAGCGTTGACCGCACCGAGAGAGATGGAGTGGGCATGGTGGCGTGGGTTGGACTGAGGTAGAGGGCGAGAAAGAGACAATTCCTGTTCAATGGACGAAACCATTAGAATTAGCGATTTATCCAAGAGTACTACTTGGTCCAAAGGGACTAAATGCAGAATATGGCGGCAAACGCCGTACCTTGAATGAGGCCATGGTGAGTACGTGGACTCTCGGGTGATCAATCCCCTGAAGCCCACTTGAAGATAGTATGATCAAAACCGTTGGGTATACTAATTTGGCGGTGATCCAAAGGGATGGAGAGCAAGATGGACGTGGAAGGGGAGGGAAATAAAAAAAAAAAAAAAGGCAGAAGGAGAGTTTCGTCTGGCTTGGGGGCGAATTCTAGAATAGTGTGCCGGTACCTAGTAGTGAGGCTGAAGTAAAATGGGCTAGGGGTGGCAATGGTTGGGCAATTGAGGAGGATTGGTTTAAATGGAAGCGGAGGTTGAAAGAGTGGACAAGAAGAGGTGGAAGAGAGAGGTATAGCGACAGAGGAGAAGTAAAGGGAGGAGAAAAAGGGAAAAAAGGTTGACGAAGAGGAGAGAACAAAAAAAAAAAGAGGAGAAAGAAACAAGAGAGCAAGAAGCACGATGGAGGAGAAGTTGAATGAATGGATGCACGAGGAATCCGGTACGGTAATGGTGGTACACAACAGACTTCAAGACACACCTTCCAAAGTGTGTTAAGGTAGTAAAGTAAATTCAAATAAAAATGCAAAGGGAAAAAAAATTAAAAAATTCCCAAAAAAAATAACAGCTTCTGCGGGGCCTTTGGGTTCACTAGTTGACAGAATGGATTCCAAGCAATGCGGGGGTTTGGGTGATCTCCGGTTGGGTTGGTTATTATTCCGGAGATTTTAAAAATAAATCTTTAGAAAAAGAAACAAAATTGAGAAAAATACAACAAATGATTCCATTCATAACTAGTTCTTTGAAAAAGAAAATTGTTCAAACCAATTTTTTTTAAGAGAGTCAAAACAGACGGAAAATCCTTCAGACTGCCAATCATTGCTGTCAGACCGTCAGGGCAGAAACAGTTGTTCCTGACTAACCAGCAGGCAAAGAGGGTGATGTGATTTGCTCCACTCGCATCTGGGAATTCAATGTCCAGGCAAGGAAATGGCTCTGGTGATGTTGTCATTCAGTTCCAGGCCCCCATAATAATGGGACTCTGGAGACTTGGAAAAAGAAATGGACCTTGCCAGAGCTGAAACGGTCATATTTCATTCTCAACGGGAAAAAATTCTTTTTCTATTCTTCTCTTTTTCATTCCTTTATGTTTCTTAGTTCAGGTATGAAACTGCATTAGTCAGTGACCTGTGTCCGTATGGTCACCTGCTCAGCACAGCACGAGGCCATGCTGTATGGTAACTGTTATGGGTAGCAAAATCGAGGAACCAAATAGTAGATCATCAAATTTCAGGCAACATCTCAGTTTGCAGTACTAGTTCCCAGAAGGAGGGATTAATAAAATCCAAGGGACACATAATTGGCCATAGCTGGTGTGATCTTCTGACAAGTGCAGATTACCCCCCCTCAAAAAGGAAATTTAATTAAATAAGAAACATCTTCATACAAAAACAATCTCATTCATTGACAAAACATAGCAAGAGGAGTAAAACTGATTGGCATCTTCGTTGAGTAGGTACCGTACTCCGGAGTACAGTTCATCCCCCTCGATTCATTACCGCCGGCAATACATTACAGCGATCGCAAGCCCCAAAAAAATCACTCAATGGGTGATCTGTGCTGTACTCCGTCCCGGTGACCATACCGTAATACGTAGGAATCGACGCATCGACCGGTCTAGGGCCTGGTCGGTGGATACATGATGTCATCCCCCATGGCCGTACCGTACGGTATGATTGGATGACGCCCCCGTCCCCCATTGCCAATCACCCTACAAATGGGGAATAAACTGGGAAAGGGCTGACTGGGGTCAATTCGATACGGTACGGCTGCTGGTTCCCAAGACCTTATCTTACCGCCAGAGTACCTGAGGTTAGGGACCATTTATAGCATGTATAGTACTACTAGTAAGGTACGCTCAGGTACGGAGGGAAAGGTAAACCTGCCTATCATTCGAACGACCATAAACTTTCCCAGAGGTAAGGCACATCCAATGGTTGAGGGACCTATGTCCAACCGTAGTATAGCGGTTAACTTGCGATTCAGCCAAGATGAAGATCCGCCAGCTGCACTGACAGGTCATTGGACACATGGCCAATACCTACTGACTGGGTACTAATACCCTAAACTGCAAGTCAAGTGCATTCCTTCGGAGCCTGGTTCCATGGCTGAGCCATTCTTGATTATTATCAATTATTATTTTTCTTCTTTTTCTTTCTTTTTTCCTTTATTTTTTATTTTTATTTTTATTTATTATTATTTTTTTTTTACTTATGTGAATCAGTGGTTCGGATGTTCTTTATCTGTGTAAGATTAATTGTAGATACATGTAGCACAAGATACCCTGTATCAAGAAGTAAGTAGACAAATAGTCGGTCTCAATCACACCACAAAGAGCCAGTTTCAACTGTAGCACGCCACAGCGTTAGCCCCAGGCATCGATTCGGCTTTGACGAGTGATTCTCGAAGGAATGTCTCAGGCGATTGCATTGTCCGCCATCGGTGTTGCTTACGTTGCTTTGCGTGCTAAGTATCCCACTATCGTTTTGGCCATAATGCCACTGAGCACCGAGACTGTCATTTTGAATGAAGCAGTCACGTAATCTTTCAATTTTAAAGGTATTAGTCTACTAGACCAGCGCAATGGCGTACCCATACCATTGCCTGTGAGGAAGATCTCTGTGTTTGATCGCCTTATCGTCACGCATCAGAGTACTCTTATTCTACAGCCAAGAGCCAACTATTTTCATTCTGAAGAAACTGTTCCTTCAACATCTAAGTCCACAACTGGTCACAATCATCTGTTTTAGATCCCGGACATCCTTCTCAGTCAAGGCCAGACACCGTTACCTCAGTGGACCAGTCCAGACATATATGGACAAGCCGAAACAGTCTGGGGTTAGTCTTCATATTTGCCCATGTTGATATGACCGCTGTCTCGTGGACAAAAAATGCTGGGATGATCCCCAGATCCAGCAGGCGTTCCAGATCCAAACCGATCATGTGCAACATGTGACCCATGACTTGCAGGCGGAGTATTCTGCCGACACAAATCACGACCGCCTATCCCCAAACCAATCAGAAGATTTGAACCATACAACTTTTTGCAGGTTCACCTTTCAAGTGTCAACAGGAAGATATCGCTTGGTTTGAGGATTAACGGTAGGATACCGGAAGAGCTGTACTTTTGCTAGAACTACAATCCTGGGGATCTATTGCCCCATAACGTCAATTGACAATGCTCCACTCCCGCCTCCGACCCCTCCCCCGCCGCCGTACACCCTTATCTTCCTCCCCATCAGCCCCTCCTCCCGATTTCCACGATGAGGACTCCGTTGAGGACGAATCTCCCGAGGACCTCTTTGGAGCTTTCCTTCCCCACCTATTTCCAGATGATGCTCCCTCTTTTCACGGTGATCCTGGGCAGCACCTCCTGTACAGCTCCCCGCGCTATGGCGCTCTTGATATCATGGTCCCCTCCTACCCCCACCAGAGCGACAATCGCTCGGAAGAGATCGCAGCAGGTCTCCCCCGCGCAGATGGGAAAGTAAACGATGTGGACCAAGGGCGAAGGCTGTTTGCACACTTTTTATGGAGTGCCGCCATGGTGGTCGCAGAGGGGGTTGAAAACGCAGAGCAGCTCTCTTCGGCGGGACAATTGGATTCCGACACGGCGATGTGGAACGTTACGGGGGAGAGTGTGCTTGAATTGGGCGCTGGTTTGTCTTCCCCTGGTTTCTCTTCCTTGCAATTCCTTAAAGCCATAGATCTATCGGACTAATCTTATCCTGCAGGTGCCGCATTACCATCTGTAGTCTGTGCCCTTGCGCAAGCCTCTACGGTTACCATTACCGACCACCCCTCTTCTCCCGCCTTTGCTGGCGCCATCGCCTTCAACGTCGACCACAACGTCCGCAAGTCTTCCTGCACTACTGAGGTTATTATTAAACCCCATGAGTGGGGAACACTGGAGAGCGATCCCTGGGCCGTCGAGAAGAAAGGAACCTTCACCCGGATCATCGGCGCGGATTGCTACTGGATGGCCTCGCAGCACGAGAACCTCGTGAATACGATGAAATGGTTCCTTGCACCTGGCGGCAAGGTCTGGGTGGTTGCCGGGTTTCACACCGGGCGAGCCATCGTGGCCGGGTTCTTCGAAACTGCAGTGAACAACGGACTGGAGATTGAGCGGATCTATGAACGGGATCTCAATTCCGGGACGGAAGACGGGAAGGAGGTCCGTCGGGACTGGGTACCTGAGCGGGAGGGCGAAGGCCCCGAAAACCGCAAGAGATGGTGTGTAGTTGCTCTCCTCAGGAGAAAGGGAGAGTAGAGTCGACCTGGGGATTCAATTCCCCAGGGTAAAAGCCCCCCTCAAGCCAGCATCCATAAAGCGATATATGCCAATGGATCTATACATCATGACTGATGAAACGTGACGACTATACAGCCTGATAGAACATCAAAAAGAATAAAACAAACTCCATCTATCTACAAACCCACTGGGTATATGATCAAACCCTCTGAAAACACACCGTACAAACTCCCTGACCCTCCTTGCCCCCAAATCTAAACCGGGGATACTCAACACGCCCCCAAACCTCCAACCGATCGCCCTCCTCCTTCTCCCTGGTAAACCACATCACCAACTCCTCCTCAGTCCAGTTACAGCTAGTAACCACCAAAAACCCACCCTTCTTCACCAACCGTCTCGCAACCCCCGGATACATCTCACAAACCCGCCTCTGCACCTTCTTCCCGGCCACTGAAGCATCCGCATCGCCCTCAACCACCTCCTCCGACAGCGAAACAGCGTCAAACGTCCCCTTATCAAGCACAATATCAAACCCGCCCTCCCCATACGGAAACCAATCCAACTTCCCCTGCTCCGCCACCTCCTCCGCCGAATGCAAGATATCCCACTCCTCAAATCGAATCTCCGGGCCATCCCCAGCACCCTCCTCCTCCTCATCCTCATCATCCGTCAAATAAGCCGAATGCATCTTCAACCTCTGCAACTCGCGCGCCAACTCCACGCTCCGCGCCGAATAATCCACTCCGACCATCACGCCCCGGAACCCGCCCCGCTTGCGCAACAGAGCCAGCATGCTCCCGTTCCCCGTGCCCAGGTCCAGGATGCTGGGGTGGCTGGCCCCCGTGTTGTTGCACGGTGCCAGCGGGAAGTCCTCGGCGGCCAGGAACTGGAGCACTTTATCGGGGGCGTTGTGTTCGGAGAACCATGATGTGCCCGGGTCGTCGTCGTCGTCGATCGATTCGGCATCGGAGTCCGCGTTCGTGGTCTCTTGTTGGGGGGTTTGTTTTGTGGAGATGTGTGTGAGGGTTCGCGCGTAGAAGGTTTCCCAGCTTTGTTTTTTTTTTTTTCTTGTTAGTTTGTTTGGGGAGGGGGAGGTGCATGTGGTGCTCTTATGGATGTTTTTCTTTTCCTTTTTTTTTTTCCATTCTTGTTTTTAGAATATTGCTGGGCAGCTTGGGGTATGATTGCAGAATGTGATGCATATGGATGGAGGGGTAGCGGGGTACAGGTTTTTCAAATTGTGCAATGGATTGGGACTCACTAGTCCTTGGTTCCCAGTTCGCTGGGCGCGAGGTGACTTGGATGGCTTTCTTCTGCCATATTTTTGATCCTTTCTGTTCAGGGAAACACGCTGTGGTGGTCTATGGGAATTTTCGTGTTGAAATGGTCGACGGGAAGTTTGGAGAGCCGCGCGGGAGATAAAATTAGACCCCGCGGAATTTAGAACCGCGGCAAGGTTGCAATTGAACGCTACACTCTACTAGTCAAGGCTTCCTTATTTACTGCCTGGAGATCTTATATGCACTTGTTTAACTCCTTGTATTCAAGAATAAAGTAGCCCCTTGGGTATTTCGCCGTAAACCGCGATGCAATAATCACGGTGTAAATAAAGAGTGAGATAAGACAGTATGAAAAACGAATGGAAGCGAAAAGTATAGACCCCAACGAATAGTATTACATGGTCAGGTACGAGTTCTCGCCACCTTTATCTCTTTTGATAACACCCAGGACGCCGGTAATAAGCATGCAATGTCACCCTTTAAGACGCAACATGAAGCCACCGGTTGACAAATTGAAAATGCCAATTAGCGAAGGTAGTGTGAGAAAATGAGAAAATAACGACTGCAAAGCCCGCTTTGGTCATCAGATCATCAGAATAGAAGCCCAGAGGCAAATGTAAATAAGCTAAGAAAGGCAGTAGCGAAAAGGAGAAAAGGGAAACGAAGAGAAGCCAGCAGTAAGCTCTTTTTGTGCAAGGAGGAAAAGGGAAAAAACGACAGTGAGCCTCAATAGGGCATGTCAAACAGTCATGCAATCGTTTCAAGGACGTATCCTCAGAGATGACCCTGAGCGAACTCCGTCTCAAAAAAACATCAAAGCAGAAGAATTATAAGAATTCGTCAATATTTCTCATGATCAGGCGCTCGTTTCCTGGGGGAGGAGACCTAGGATCCGCTATCCGCGACCCGAACCGGAAGCCGTGCAGCCCATTATTCTCCAGTTGACTAGAGATTGACTGTGACATCGGTGCCGCTAGAAAACCAGTCGTTCTAGGTGAAAAGAGAGCAGGTGGTTCTGCCGGGCCATCCCGCATGAAGATGTCGGTCTTTGCTAAGGAGTAAGGCCCGCTCTCCGAACGCCATGAATTCAATAAGGACTCTGGACGGATCGATCGTACTGCCGAGTCGCCGACTTGGAAGCTTGACTTCCGCAGGGTTAATGGCCGCGGGGATAAGCTTCGCTTATGCGAAGGGGTTTTAGGAAAACTTAGACTTTCAGCAGAAGTAGGCGTAGTCTGGTTTGTCGAAGGCACCGAGAGTGAGCTCGTCGAAGCCTGCGACAAACCAGCGCATGAAGCCGGTAGAGCTGGAGTCACGATTACGGGCTGGCTCATCGCCTCCGTTCGAGAGGGTTGCGGTTCAGAGCCCCTCCGAAGTCCTTCCGCAAACCACTCCTCAGGCGCCGGTTTTGAAGGGCCACCCTGGAGCAACCGCGAACGGAAATCCGTCAATTGGTAGATAAGGCTCATATTAGGGCCCACCCATTGACTCCTCCCCTTGACAATCTCGTACATGGAGTTGAAATCCAGATGCCGGTTTTTGTATAAACCATATGCGATGACCAGCGAAGCGGATCGGCTGGCACCCAGCTGACAGTGAACAAGGACCTTTTTCCCCTGTGAAATGCGCGAATCGATGAGCTCGCAGAGGGGGTAGAGATCTTCGAGTATTTCTGAGTTGTGGTCCCAGCCCACATGGATGTATTCGGGCTTGGATGCGTCGTTGCGAGGTGTGGGAGGCAGTGACTCATTCGGGGGGTACTCAAAGGCGGACTTAAAGGAAATGTCTGACATGGCTGTTTCTGGAACTTCGGTCGGCACCGCCTTGGGATTTGTAGACGCATTCCGAAGGACACTCATGACAGATCCGTTGTTGGTGTTTGTGTTGGTGAATGGATTTACTACTTCCTTGGCCACGTTGACGACAACATCAAACTGCGACGCTTCTTGTACTGTCGGTTCCAAGTACAAGTAGACTCCGGAGTCGTAGATTTGGATAGGCCCATTCGGGTAGCCCCGCTCATTGCGTCTAGTGGACTCTCTCGAGTCTAGGTGATCATCCTCCTCATCCAATTCATGGAGCACACTGCCAGAAACTGAGTTTTCATCGGGGACTGGCTGCAAAGGTGACGGGTTATCCTCCGAAGCCGATGGCCGTCGACTGCCATGATGGGTCATGGGCCTAGGTAGTTGCATGCCACCTTTGGGACCAAATGAAGGGGAGAAGATCGAATTTAGTGATGGTGAAGATTCGGTATGTCGCAACGGTTGCCGGCCGAGTGGGGTAGGAGGAACTTCAGAGATATTGCTAGAAAACGATCTATCAAAGCCGGGAGTCCGAATGGTGAGATTTGCCGGTTTTCGGCGTGTGCTTTTGGGAGGGATGTGTACCGGCGATGGTGGCGCGGACAGATGGTGTTGAGAGGTTGTTTCAACAATGGATGCTGTCGCAATTGGCGGCCGGGAAGACTGTGAGGGTGGAGGCATTCTCAAGGATAAATTTTTCAGGTTTCGTGCCCGCCTGCCGGGAGAGTCTGGGCGCACGGGATTCGGTGTGTCGGACGACAATTTGGAAAGGTTGTTATGGGCTGTCGAGAGCGAGTGGCTCTCGACATTGCGCGGGGATGGCATGAATTTGGTATACGACAGTGGCATGGACGTCGGAGATTCCGGGGAAGAGCTGGGAGATGTCTCTGGGCCAGAAGGCGAATCGAAGGTGGAAATGGTGGTGGTCGGCGACGAATCAGTAGACGCTGATGTCATCGACGAGATGCTCTCACGGTGCTTAAAAGGTAGAGGGCGTCGCGATGTGTTAACGGTGACATTAGTGGGCACGTCGAGAGGTTTTATTCCTGTCGTCTGCTCCTCTCTGTCGGCAATGCTAAGTGGTCTCCCACCAAACACTGACATAAAGGATGGGAATGAATCCGGTACTGACGGTGGACTAGTCTGAACGGGCATGATGAATCCAGACTTCAGTACAGACCTGCGCTTGAAAGGCGACACCCTTTCAGGTATACAGCTCTCACAAAACGCCGGCGCAAAAACCGCAGGACAGCAATCGCATCCAGACGGAGGGAAAGAAGAAAGTGTCGCACTTGCTACCAGAGCAAATGACCTTTTTGAAAGAGCACAATCAGTTTCCATGTTCAAGCTTTGTGGCTTCGCAAAGTGCAGATGTTCAGGTCGCAAGAAACCAAGCAAATAGAGCTGCAAGGAGGGTGAAACAAGGCCGGCAAGCTGAACCTTAAAAGAAAGGAAGCAACAATGGGATCAGAGCAAAATTCTGCGGTTGTCCCGGGCGTAGAGCATTGAACGTTGGGAGGTATGGAAGCGAGCCGGAAGAATGGACGTCTAGCAATGCATGTAAGAAAGACGTGAACATACCAAAAGTCGCCACAAGAGGTCTGGTACCTCTTGAAGATGTGTCAGTGATGTAAAGGAAAGGACAGTGGTGTGCAGTGCCAACAGGAAATAATAAAATGAGAAAACAGATCAATCAAAACACTGCAGCAGAAAAATAAATAAAAAAGCGGAGTCAAGGAGAGCTAGAAATTAAAAAAGAAAAAAAGTAACACAGATGCAGCGTCAGAAATTACTGCATGGAAAAAAAAAATCCAATGAATTAATGGTTGAGATGGAGGAGTAAAAAGTTGGAGGAATTGCCGCCCGGTATTCGCATGGGCAGTCGTTCCTCCGGGGAATGACGAAAGAACCAGTGTAGGAATCTAGTAGGGTAAAGGAGGGTAAGAAGGGAAGTAAAAGAACGACTGCCCACAAGCCAAAGGAGAGAAATGGGTCACGTCGATTGATTAGCGAAGTAGGTACCCTACTAAGAGGGGAAGAGGAGGGGAAGAAGGAAATCAGAGGAAGAGAGAGAGGGAGGGAGGGAGAAGGGAGAGGGGAAACACACGACTGGTGGTGGTTGTGTGTTTGTGTGTGAGAAAAGAGAGGTTCCTCCAGGATAGGATAGACCAGACCAGTTCCAGCAGCAGCATGTAATACTGGTAAACGATCACTAAGAATAAACCACTTGCTCCAGCAGTAGTTCGTTTGAGAGGACGGGAAGGGAGTGGATGGAGGCCGTGATTGGGACCGTCCGCCCGCGTTTCTTGACGGCAGGCCAATCATTCCACCGTTGGGTGTGGGGCATGAGGAAGACACCCTCCGGTCAACCAGATGTGGGAAGCCAATCAGACCCGGCCGAAGCAAAACATTCATCGCCTGCAGCTCTAAATTTAGCCGCCCGGGTTGGTCTGGGAGGCTGGAATGTGCATCACGGGCGCCAAAAGCACGCAAATCAGATGCCAGTCTCTTCCCAACGTAGGCATGTCTCCATCTCCCCAGTCGGAGAGATGCTGGTATGTACCGCTCTCCTTCCCGTCACCCACAACAACGACCGAGTGAAGATCCTTGTGGTCAGGGCAAGAGAAATCAGATAGGAAGTGATGGGCAAGTGTAAGTGGGTGGGTATGATTCTGATACAACACAGGGGGTGGAGGAACGGAATCATGTGTGTATCAGAAATCACAGATCGTAATCAATGACCAGAGAAAAGGAAGCCACTGTATTTTTGCTTCTTTTCTTCTCGTTCTTTTCTTTTCTTTTCTTTTCTTTTTTTTTTTTTCAAGAGATCATAGCTCTTTTTTTTCCCTTCTCGCTCCCTCTTTTGGTTTTCTTTGTGCTCTTGGTATGGAAATGGGTATTCCCTTCCCCTCTCTCTTCCTCTTTCGGATTTCTTGTCAAGGGTTGAGTGCAAACAAGGAAGGTTGCAACCAAAAAAAAAAAAGAACAAACACGCAAAACAGCTCCACAACTGGTACCACTTGAAGGGGTGGGAACTGGACGAACAAAGACAGAAATAGCCAACTAGAGCAAAGGTGTAATACGTATAAACAGAAATCAGGAGATCATAAACAAATGAACAATAATAAACCTGACTATAATAGCAGAAAAGCAGAAATGACAATTTCAAACATACCTTATTCTTCTATTATCAAAGATGCCCTTTTTTTTCCCTATCCCTTTCACAATGCCCTGGGTTCAACAGGATCACACTGTTATAGTCTCAGGAAGTGAACCTATACCAGAGTGGTACTAGATCCAAACGGGATTTTTCATTCGTTATGCGGCAGTGGTCACGGCGCTTAGCATCACACAAACCCGTTTCCCTAAAGAGCTCGTCACACG